TGAAACGTGACCGTTAACTAGAGCAACGCCCCACGTCACACTAAAGTTAAGCCGGGTTCGACTAGGCCGTGTTTTCAGCAGGAGCATAGCATAATGAAATCAAATATACTGCACTGTTTTGCATTAGCTGTTGGTGGACGCACAGACAAGACAGCCATGAAATTGAGAAACTACCCACAGTCGCAGAAAATTCGGACAATGGTTCATTGGTGACCAAGAAAAGAGCCTTTGGAAAAACATTTTTCTAGCACTTTGTCGTTTATTTGACAGTGACATACAAAAGTCAGTTTGATTCCCTTTTCCAAATGAATGCATTAATTAACACATATTAACACTGGATGCTATGTTGCACTCAAACCTTCAAAGACAGTATACTGTGAGAATGTATATATTGTTTAGTTATAATGTGATTATGGCATTCGCACACAGCAAGTACAACTACAGATGATGCATTGTCAGCCCGTTTCAAGTGTGAAAGTAGGTCATATATTACGTTGCTTAGATAATATTTACATTGTGTTACGAGTGTCCTCTTGGGTCGGGGAAAAGATTGGAGAGGAGTTTCTCCTCAGGAGCGATTCCTTCTTTTACCCACTTAGAACTCGTGAGCCATGAGAAGAACTGTCCTCTGTTGTTGTGGAGGACATCACGTTCCTGAACTGAAAGTGATTGGTTGTCAGGTGAACTATCAAAAAAGAAATTGACCAATTAATTCATAATAAAATAAACTTGAATAGAATTATATGACAAACAATTACATCTGGTGGAAATTTAAATTTGAATTAAATTGAGTCAAGCTAAATTAACTGGATTTTATTTACTAATTCATCAATTAAAATTGAATTAAATAGCAAAATGTGGTGATTATTAAATGTACTGGGAAACAAATGTTGAATTGAAGAGGGTACATTTAGTTTATCTGCAATGACAACACTGTATCAAAGAATTTAAGAGCAAACTATTATCAGTAGCTTTATTGGATAGCTCCTATTTTTAAGTGAGCTGTTCACATCTGTGAAGCTACTAGTAATTGGGAGAATAATATCTTTTCTAACTCTTTTTCATGAATATGAACAATCTGGCCAGACTGTGAACAGAATGTCTGTCTTTAAATGACTCACTGTTGTGACCTCGTAGGCACATTTCCTTGACAGCTTTGTGAACGATTCCACAGACCTCCGCCGAGACACAGTCCAGTCCCAGCTATAAACACAAACAGGTCTTAAGGCAACAGATTATTGGGAAAAAGCTGTTTACTAAATCCAAATCCTGTCTGTAATTCCCTCATCAGAGGAAAACAAGATGGAATCAATGCATGTAAACACTCGCACGGATATTCAGTGGCACACGCGTGCACAGCGCGGGGTTGTGATGCGTGTGTGAACGTGTGTGTATCCGCAGTGTATCCATAGAGACCTGGCAGCCCGGAACATTCTCCTGTCAGAGAGCAACATCGTGAAGATCTGTGACTTCGGCCTGGCCAGAGACATATACAAAGACCCCGACTACGTCAGAAAAGGCAACGTACGGCAGCCGCACGATCGCTACGTTTTTTAGAGCTGCAGGTAGATTGTCCATCGGTAAAGAAACATTAAACTCACACATGTTCTCTCAGGCTCGTCTCCCTTTAAAGTGGATGGCGCCGGAGAGCATCTTTGACAAACTCTACACCAGCCAGAGTGACGTGTGGTCTTTTGGAGTTCTCCTCTGGGAAATTTTCTCACTGGGTAAAGACGTTCATTTCCTATTTGTATAAAAATGAAAAGGCTCCTACTTGAGTCGGTAAGTGTATTAATCTCTGTTCTTGACAAAACAATCGGGCAATCATTTTAAATTGTATTTAAATCAATTTTTTCAAACACACAATCAGTCATTTTTTTCTTATCTCAGATGTGTTTATTAACGTTTCATCTTTGTCTAATCCTCCCTCAGGTGCCTCTCCGTACCCGGGAGTACAGATCGACGAAGACTTCTGCAAACGATTGAAAGATGGCGTGCGGATGAGGTCACCGGAGACCGCCTCCCCCGAAATGCAAGCAGACTTTCATTTATTTCCTCTCTCATCTCTTGCTGTCAAACAAGATTGATAGTCCTTTGATTCTCTGGACCCAACCCTGAGGGAAAATAAGTAAAGATCCTAACATTGACTAACTAGTAAGTGCGGGAGAGGACAAGGAGTCAGATTTGCAGCTACTGTGTATTAGTGAGTCAGAGGGAGGGGGGCCTCAGTGTTGTTCTTGTTGTGACGATACTGCCTCCCTCTGGTAGATACGGCATCATGCTGGCCTGCTGGCACGGTGAACCCAAAGAAAGACCACCCTTCCCTGCCCTGGTGCAGATCTTGGGGGACCTGCTGCAGGACAACAGCCTACCTGTGAGTCCATTGCCGCAGAGACATTAACTCCAGCGTGCGTGGGCGGCTTTGGAGAAGGCGTCTCGAATCTCAATGTTTCTTTTCCGTTTGCCCTCTCAGGATGGGAAGGACTACGTACCTCTGAACCGCTCACAAAGCTCAGAGGACGATGGCTTCTCGCAGGCGTCATCACGCCGTCCATCTGAGGAGGAGCTGAGGCCGGCCTGCAACGCTCTACCCGCCAGGTGCCGATCACGTTTCCTCACGAAAAGTCATTTCACATTGCAGATGTGGGGGGTTTTGTCTCGCGACATTGAGCTTACCGAAGAGAGGCAGCTTATAAATCAAATGACTTTAATCTCTTTCACTTGTTGTGCTCAGAATCATTTTTATCTGACCTGTGGCATTTTACCCTTTATTAATCCCATAATCATTTCTTCCTCTCAGGTATTATAACTGCGTGCCCTTTGGCGGTTGTGTGTTCGTGGGACCCTCGAAAACGTGCCATCCCAGAGTGAAGACATTTGACGAGTTTCAACTGGGGATGCCGCCACAGAAAGCTCCTCAAGTAAGCTCTTTATCTTCTCATCAAATGCTGAAAAGGCCACCAGGTGACATTTTGCTCCTCCGGTAATGACCAATAATAGTTTAATAGTTCGGCCAAAAGCATTCCGACGTCTCTCTGTGCCTCCTTCCAGGATAACCAGACGGACAGCGGGATGGTTCTGTCTTCTGAAGAGTTTGAACGAATCGAACACAAGCACAGAGGCGCCAACTCAAAAAGGTTAATCATTTAAAAGCTTTGATCGACAGCGCCGTCTGAAAATGAAAGAGGAGCGGAGCGTTTGTAGTATGTACGAGCCGAGGCTAATAGGAGCTCGCAACATCTGGAGCCATTGGACAGTTTTTAGAATTGGGCTAAACAAATGATCTCAAAAGCAGTAAAAGGTTATGAGCAGAATAGTAGAAAAAGAACCGTTTATCCAGCAACTCACTCTTACTTACAGCAAAGACGTAGAAGGAGTATTTAAGAGCAGATCTAAGGCGACTAAATGATCGGTCCACTTGGAGGACAAGAAAGAAAGTAGAAAGATATGAAGTCTACACAATCCGATTAGATATTATGTGAAGTCCCAAAAAAATAAAATAGCGTTCTTTTGGTTTGAAAGTCAAATCACGTGCAGAATAAGGCTAGAAATGTCCAATATGTTTATTAGACCAATAGCATGACAACACCAGACCATTCATGTTCCCTACCTGTCTGTGGCACTGAGGCCAACTGAATCCCACACAAAGAATAAGATCAGTCAAGAAAGAGTGGTTTCATTAAAGTTCTTGATAACTTCCTATATGCGCGAGCCACTGTGATTTCATCCTGACCCGTGGTTTTCCTCTTCCCAGTCGCATGGGCAGCAGCAGCAGCACAGAGCCGCTGACCGCCTCCCACGGTTCCCTGGGCCGAAGCAGCTCCAGGCACCATCCCCACTTCTTCAGCCAGCTCTCAGGACAGACCTTCTACAACAACGAGTACGGACACCTGTCCGAGGAAGGCTTCTGCGACTTCTTCTCCTCGCCCGAAGCGCCCTGCCTGGCCTCCTCCAACGTGTGATCTAAACCCAAAGATGCAGCTCTGGGAGGATGACGGGGGGGGGGGGGGTTAAAAGAGTGAGGACCTCTGAGGTCAAGGGATGCCTGTAGGTTTTAATAGCATTTCAGTGACATGTATCTCGTCATTTATAAATGAAGATCAGGTTATAGAGCCATGTGACCACTCATCTCTTCCCTCGGTATAAACGGACTGAGCAATGTGAAGCTGAAGCTCCTCTAACCAGCCACTGGGTGGCAGCATTATGACAAAAACAAACCCAAAGTATTTTGTATTCACACATTTAGAATTGTACTTTTTATACAGAGTATTCTTTCCTTCATTTGTACAAACTATGAGTAAAAGGGGAAGAAATAAAGGAATGTACCATGTCATTTGGTGGCGATGGGGAAGCTTGATTGCGACCATGAACACGGAGTAAGTGACGGAGGTACGGCACCGGTCGAAGGTTTGGACACACTTTCTCATTCAATTGAATGTAGGACGAATAAAAAAGGAGTGAGTCGCTCTAAGCGCCGCTTATCAGAGCTGGACGTAAGCGTGATGACAGTTGTGACAGCCTAACACCCTCTTAAATGTTCACATCACAAACGACAACCTGCAGTGTGTTGATTTTGGCTGCGAGCTGATGGAAATGAGAAGCTTCTGGTGCAAAGTCCAAGTGTACACACACACACGCACACGCACACACACACGCACGAGGTTCGAAGGTTTCATTTTCTTTATGAATAATTATTGATAAAAGTAACTGGAAAAATTCAACTAAACTGTCTTCAGGTCAGTTTTAAATGAAAAGGGGTTAACAACTTTGATGTGAAAGGATTTCTTCTAAAGCAGCAGCTCCCAGACAATCCCTGACTAAACTATGTTCAGCTTTATTATGAAATGATACAAAAAGGGATGGGACGCAGTTTTAGATTTGTAACCATAAACCTTAAAACTGAGGAAATATAACCCAATGAAACTTACATAACATGTCTTATATGGCTGTCAGCTAGTTAACACATATTGTGGTGGAGAAATTTGAGACGGAACAGAAAGTAGATGAGCTCAGTAGAAAAAGACCAGTTTATGAGGGCTTGTATTTATCACTGTTCCATCAGGGTCATTAAACAGCAGTATAAAAGGAAAGAAAGATTATCAAAAAGGTAAAAAAGAAACCTTGGCCGACAAGTTCTCGCTTTACAAAACCAAAACTTTATCATTTACAGCTTCATAGAGAAAAAAAAGAATACGACATTCTCTTTGTGTTTGAACAATTGAAATGGATTGGAAAAAGCCAAAAAACAAGTAATCAGACAGCATTAATGAAATGTTGGTACAAATTGACTGAAAGATAAACAATGATCACTTTATATTAAAATAAATAAAAGTAAATCTTGTAGTATGTTGTAACAAAAGCCATTGAAACAGACAAATGAGATCTGATGGTAATCAGAGAAGTCAAGCAAAAAGGTAAAAGTGAACACAGAAGAGACAATAAGGCTGAAAACATGTCATGTGATGCGTCAAAATGCCGTGTTATGGACATTGTGACCTACAGCAACACGTTAAAGTTCAGTCTTACTAAGCAGAACGTTTGAAATGATAATCCCCTTTTTGCAGCAGAGGAACCATCACAGTCCAGTTAGACTGATACGGTTTTTGACATACTACAGCATGCCTGTAAATAATTCAGCTATAGCTTGAAAACTCCCCTTTGAGTGGGGATTTTGGCCGCATTGTGCGCCAAATAAAAAAATAGAATCTTTTTTATTTTTCGTTTTTTTAAAAGTCGTTTTTTTTACTTCAAAGAAAATTTAAAGTACAGAGTTCAAATCTGTTCAAATACTGGCTGAAAGCTGACACACGGCACTTCATCTCCACAGTAACAAAATAGCTCTCTCTCTCTCTCTTAGGGGAGCCGTCCTCAAGACATTTTCCCTATCTGGATCTTCTTCCAGGCCTCTGAAGCGGTGAATATACAGGAGTCGATGATTCCTGCGACCGTGAAGGTCCCGCCGACGATGGCACAGATCTGCAGGAAACGAGTCGCTCCGTTAGTCTCCCTTTTGGAAAAGTTCTCCTCTCCACGTCACAACGATACATTACATTGACACCTCAGAATGTTGTGTTGGAATCTAGTAAGCAGTCCTGCTCTGGCTTGATCCAAAATCTTGAACCGTGACTCATGATTGCATATGCTTAGAGTCATTTCCTTCCCATGCCAGGTCATGAGACATCTGAACATGACAAAAGACAAATAATGGTGTAGATCATCGGCCAGGCAGCCAATTTAATCCTGACTGCATCATCAGTCAGCAGGAAACCTCGCTGAGTGAGTTGGTAGAGCCACAGGCAAAATGATCAAGGAGGGCGGGGAGGTGGAGAAACAGCAAAAAAAATAACTCAGGGAGGTAAAATTACCAGCGTTTTCTTATACAGGATAAATAACCAAATACTTTATTTTAAAACGGGTAATCCTAAAGGCTATTAAGACAGACTATGTTTTTCCAGCAACCAGCTGCTGGCGTATTTACTACACTAAGCCTAAATTCTTAACTAAAAAAAGAAGCTATCCAATGCAAGGCTTTTATTCACCAACTCCTCAGCTAAAGATATGCCTCAACGGCAGGGAGGACCACACTTTTGCGGCTAGGCATCGGGTGCTAGTCGGGTGAACGCGTAGTAGTGTATTTGTATGTATTTGTTAGTAAGCAAGGATCGCTAATTAGCATTGGTTTTGACGAGTGCAGCTTTACAACAGCTATGTAACCCCACTGGAGTCGGTCGGGCTGATCCTAAAGAAGAATCAACTCACTGTTGTTACGAAGCGATAGAAGGGCTGCCTCCTCTCGGTGTACTTGACGGTGATGGGACTGAGGTCGTATCTGAACCAGATGGCCGGGATGATTCTGCCTGTGTGGCTGTAAGCAACGTACTCCTGTAGGTGGGGGGGGGAGGATAAAAGTGTGTTACCAATTGTAATGTTTTGGGGCTGCGCGTAGCGAGAAATCCATTTGGAGCAATCTGTTACTTCATTCTTATCTCTGGAGGTGGCGGCCGCGGTGCTTATGAGTAATCACCAAATAGCTTTCAGATGAAGTCACTAAAATGTCATAAATGATTCATTGAACACATATTTCAGCTCAATAAATCTGATGAAGTCAGAGGGGGCTACAATGTGATTCTCATGTGAGGACCTTTTATTATTATTATTTTTTTTTAAATGTATCCACCCAAAAAGGGCCCTCATCCTTCAAACTTCACAGCTGACCTGCACTGTTATTACTCCAAATTCCAAACCAGCTGTCTATGACCACAGTTCTAGGAAGTGTGTTTATGGTTTGTTGACATCTGGGGAGCCTTTCCAGTCACTACGGGTGAGCTTTCACTTCCGGTTGGGTGCACAAGTCTAAAAACGGCAAAAAACATGCTTCGGCCATATGTTGCGACTGCAAAGCCGCTACCTTGAAATGCGCAAAAAAACAAAAGCAGACGGCACAGAGGGGGAGGATCTGACAGGTGAGGGAAAAGGGGATGGGAGGAGGGGGGAGACAGCACCTTGTTGGCTACAGTGTACTGGTAGGAGAACCGCTGTCTGCCCGACAGGTCTTCATACACCGTCGGTACAATCTTCAGGATGTAGTCATGTGACGCCAGAGCTGCAACAGACGCAAAGTTACTCCATTAGGACGAGAAAAAGAAGAAAAAAGACAACCACTTGGTTCATCATACTGATGCATAAAGGCCACGTAGATGTGTGGCGCGCATACGTACGATTAGATGAAAGCTTGTCAGCTCCCCCCAACGCGTTGAAGGCCCCTTGGACTTTTCGTACCTGCGCGTGACAAAAGGAGGGAAAGCAGACCTGTGTTGAACTTTCATACTGTGGATGTGATCCGTGCCGCCCCCCCCCCCTCCCCTCCATGGTGGGTTCTAGTCCCGACCTGGAGCTTTTCTCCAAATGCCAGCTTGTGGATGTTGTGGGTCATGTCCGGGCTTTGGGGCTGCGCTGTAGCGCTGTGCGTTGACACATGGAAGTTTCCAGGTACCTGAAAACACACACACACACAGCTATGTAAGTTAATGTGCGCAGAGGCAACACATTTAGTTAAGTCTGAACACGTCCTGATGAAAAATCCACTTTAACACGTTTCACATATTTGCAAATATTCCACCAGCAAGAGTGTTAAATGGCCAACTGCCGGGTTAGTCATTTTAAATGGACTGGAAAGACTGACGTAAAAAGACGCAGGCCGGACAAGCAGGGCATCCGGGGTCCAGACTGCAAATGTAACTGAAGCCGATCCCAGAGCTCTTCAATTTAAAATAACCTCAAGGGTCGGGGAGGAAGCAAGTCGGCTTCATCCGTCTTAGATGTTAGTCTCAAGATACTTGAACAACATGTCGACCCACAAAATATCCATATCCAATCCATCATAAGCGTATTACTTGGCACAAGGGGGGGGGGAAATAAATTTGAGCTTTTCCCAGAGGCTGCTCGGCCGGTTATACTTCACACAGTGTGTGTGTGTGTGTGTGTGTGCTTTCATTGTGGGCCTTACTTTGTTGATGCTGAACTCTCCCTCAAAGCGACAACCGTCACCCTGGTTGAGAGGAATCTTCATGGAGTTGTCTATGTGACCGACCTCGTGGCGGCCCATCTCGTCCTGGATGTCCAAACCCACCACTGAAGAACCCGGGAGACCATTGAACATGAGTAAGAGAGAATGCGGCCGCAAATAATATACAGGTTTCTTTGCTGAGACAAGTGGTCAAACAATAGAAATGAATCAACTAATATCTGAAAAACTGTTATTTATTTTTGCTGCGATTGAACAACTTGTTTAATTTTTAACCCAAACATTTGAAAATGTTCTTACATTTTCTACAATAATCTTAAAATGTATTTTAGTCTTTAAGTTCAATAAAATAAAACTATTAACAATTAAATTGTTATTTTTCCAAGTGCTCCCTCAGACAAAAAATCAAAAGAAATGAATCAAAGAAATGATTGATGATGAGAATAATATTTAGCTGCAGCTCCGTTTCCTTTACAGTCACACAACAGGAACAAATCACTTTTGTTATTGACGGGGGAAGAGAAGAGTCAAGAGAGAAATTGACCCCGCAGAGTAAACACAGAGAATCCAAACAGACCCCCTATCCTGCCGGTCTGGGTTTTTTCCATCTAGACCCCCCCCTCTCCCCCTCCCCACACACACCTCCCCCCAACCCCCAGCACACTGGCAGTGGCCTATTTTCAGTAGTGTGTTGGCTAGAAGTGCGGAGCGGAACGGGTGTGCCGGACCGGCGCTAAAACCCTCCACATGCTGTCCGTCTGACCTTTGACATTCAAGACAAGTTCGCCCTCAAAATACGAAAACAAATGGAGTTGGTTTCTGCGATTGCATCGAAGCTGGTTTGTTTCTGCTTTTTAAAAAGACATTTAGAACAGGAAGTGTCTTCATCTGGTGGATCGGGGGAGTTGAGAATTATTATAAGGCTATTACACGCACTTCTGCTTTCCCATGGAGTCACAAAATAAAGACCTGGCAACCCCTAAAGGTCAGCGGAGGGAGACGCGGTTTAAATCCCGAACGGCAGAGCAGATTAATAATTTAAAAAAAGGGCTGGAAATAGAAACTTTTTCCATGATGAAATTAGTTCTTCCACCGCGTGAACTTGTAATGGATGACAATCTGTTTGGAGGCCCGGAAAGATAAACTGATGTTCAATATTAACTCACAGGGAGAACATTTCTACTCATTACATGCAGCTGTCGGGAGGTCAGACCAGTACATGTGTTTAAGAAGGTTTAAAACACTGCAATTAAAAACAAAAACCACCAGGAGACACACTCATTGGGAGCTTTAATTGGAAACGGCCTTTGTGGAGACGGTCCATGACTGAGGTCGTCTACACACATGGCCAACAGCTGTGTGTCTGCATGCTAAAGCCGCTCTCGCAGAAATCTGGACTTCATTTTTAGTCACTGAAGCGGTTCGCAGGCTTCGCTTTGCCATTTTTGGATATCGCTGGGATCGAACGAGCATGTGTTTTTCTGCGCAGCCGAAATCGTGCCAATTCCTGCAAACGTGTGTGTGTGTGTCATTGGGCATAGTTTCTGACGGGAGTCATGAGGAGCAAATAACTAATGACTGTTCTCCGTCGGGCACGCGCCGCTGACATAGAAGTCCAGCAGAGAAGCAGAGAGAGGAAACTGAAACTTGGAATATGGCTTTGTGGTCTAAGAATTTAGAGTCAACAAAACAAACCGAGGAGCTTCACTGCTTCTTTATCTCAGGCATTGCTCATCTATGTATGTATTCAGCAGGGTTGGCAAGATACGGTCTGATAAAGCAGGAAAACCAAACTACAGAAAAAGGCCCACGAGAAAAGAAAAGCACAGGTGTAATGCAAAGAAATGGTGTAAAGTTATATATGTATATATATATATTATATACTCACAATCACAGTGTAAGTGTGGCAAACTGATGTTTAAACTCACTTCTATCTTCCCACCACTGTCCTTATCTGGATCGTCTACATATAGTTCATTTACTCTGTAATGGAGGGAGAAGACAAACATAGTTAGAGAAGCTTGGAACAAACTTTAAAGGGAAAATGTCCTTGCCGCTACTCATCCTCTGCAGAACTGTATGAGGAGAGCGTTTGCGTATCTCTGTGAGAGTAATTCCTTCCTGCTACTCCTCCCTTATAACACTTTTTTTTGTCAGCCACAGGAAATTATCAAGGCGCGATACCTACATTTCTGTGGCTATGAAGCCCGTCAGCTCAGACAGGAACAGGAAGAGGATGAAGAAACAGCAGAGGATGGAAACTGTGGGGCAGAGATGAACAAAGTCAGACTGGGTACCTTTTGTAGACGCTCAACTAATTTTCACAGATGCCTTTTGTTTCCCATTAATCCCACGTTACACCTGCCTTTAGGAATGGCTGACCTAAGATATTCATTAATGAAATCACAGAGACCATACACAATTCCCCTAAATAGCAGTTTTACTGACTGCCATTACGCAGGTTTTTAAAAGACCCTCCTTCACTAATTATATATTAAATAGAAGCAACAGGACATTACTGCATATCTGCTCTAAGAGAGGTGAGCTCATTCCGCGCAAACCTGACAAACAGCTCTATTTTGGGACCCCCCTCCGGACCAAAAAAGGCTTTACAGATTTCTCTAAGAAGCTAAACAGAAACCAAATCTGAAATATTAACCGTAAATAATAAGCGTTTTTGTCTGAGCCTAAAAAGGGGGAGCGGTTCAGGCTGCCGGTTTCATTTCATGTGTCAAACTATTTAGGTCCCATACAACGCCGTCATGCGTTTGCGAAGACAAATACGGAAGGAACTGATGTGTGTGTGTGTGTGTGTGTGTGTGTGTGTGTGCGTGTGCGCGCAACTGCGGTCTATCCGGTATGACGACAGCCTCGGTCAGAAAGCTCTCGCCCAGCAGGTGAGGCGTGTTTACGTGGCAACCGTCTCCTGGGATCTCACAGTCACATGACCTTTGTGGTTGGCAGCGCCGGAGGCCGAGGCTTTGCGTAAAGTAATGTTTAACCAACAAACAATGGGGAGTGTCGCTATGACATACGGCTCACCATTTCGGGTTAATGAGAAGACTCATTGTCCCCTCCCCCCCGGGGCTTCAAAGAGCGCAATACTGGCACAGGGTTACTAAAGATCCACTTCATGCTGCGATCCCATTTCAACTGATAAACACGTTATGCCCCTAAAAACCTTTGTTATTGTTCAAAGTAAATGACATAAAAGTCCAATTCGAAAGGAATGTGGCCCTAAAACAGGACACCGAAAGCAGATATTTGAGTCGATTCTGGCACCCGAAGAACCACAGAGGCCATAATGTGAGCTTGGTGAAGCAATAACAGTCTACTAATCCACAACAACCCAGTGCCTTGCCCCTAGACAGCGGCTGGCGACAGGAAGGGTGTTGAATGGGAAGAGGAAGCACCTCCGTCCATTTCCTCCTGGCCGAAAAAGCAAAGCCATTCTCTTCCCTGTCATCCAGGAAGGGGTTTATGGTCCGTTTTATAAAACGGTTCACTATTAAGTCACAACGGCGCTCATCTTTTCCGTCATCAGCTTGTTTTTTGGGGGGGGGGGGGTGTTGTCATTCAGTGCCTCACCTTTCTGATGAATAAGCAATACTGCTAGTAAATGACACAGTGGGGCCAAAAAAGAAGTGAACAGTCAATATGATTTCATGGTTACACAATGACCTGTCAATGACACAGCAAACACATGACCTGTTGAGCAAAGCACTTGGATTGTGACAACCGATTCCTCATCTCTGTGTGTGCCTGGGGCGATGATTAACATTCTTACTATCCTATTAGTTTGTGTACATCAAGTCCTCCCCGGGCGGGACGTCCCCTCTGCGCTGAGCCAAGTACAACTGTCAACTTCTGACCTCCTGAACCGTCTTCGATTCAGCCGCCTCCTTAGAGCAACGTCACACTACGCCGGAGAGCGTCACGACGACCAGTGGCTACTTAGCTTAGCACAAACAGCAACGTCGTCTTTGTGCGCCGATGCTTCTAGTGCTCTCTAACTATCTCGTTGCCTTGATACAAAAAACGTACATGATAAAAGATTGGATGAAACTCATTTGGTTTCGTGTCGATTTGTTACAAGCAGAAAAATGTTACCGTCAAACAGAACGAGCTGATTCATTTCACTGCGTTTTCGGTTGTCGTGCTGAACAAACTGTCAACTGCCGGTAGTTTCATATCGTATGTAAAGACATTTGACACTGAAAGAGGAATAGAACTTTATTGCTCCAAACCGGTTTAAATTTTACATAATTGATCCAACACGAGCTCTCTGAAGACCCCAGGACCGCAGAGAGCCTTCACATCTTCCGCCGCAAACTAAAGACACACCTCTTCAGACTCTACCTCGACTAAAGACTAACAAATTGTAGCACTTAAATTGTACTTGTAACGTCACTCATCTATAGCAATTTGTAAATTGGCTTATTTGAGGAAATTGCACTTATTCTTGTTTCTTGTTCTCCTGAGTTTGTACCCTATGGTTGAATGCACTTATTGTACGTCGCTTTGGATAAAAGCGTCAGCTAAATGACATGTAATGTAATGTAATGTAATGTAACACACATTATGTGGACAGATGGGCGACTTAACCGTAACTGAGCAAAAGTACCGCAAAGAAAATGAAAATAGAAGGTAATGAATTGGGCCTGTTGAGCGACTACTCACTGAACGCTCCCGTGTACGTCGGCTGGGTCAGATCCTTTGGCACTTTCCTGTAGATGTCGAATCTGAAAGAAAGAAGAAAAAAAAAGGAAAAGGGGAGAAAAAAAAAAAAAGCGAAAAGAAAACGTAAACAGTACGTGCTGAGAAAAGAAGGACACTCTGTACCCATAAGGCTGTGCGGTGTTACGAAAGAGTGGTGGAATGTTAGCTCTGGACAACCGCCACTATACACAACAGGTCCAGACACCCGGCCGTAACACACACACACACACACACACACACACACTTTACAGGGTAACACTTCATCGTTTGAATGTGTGCTCTGTAATTGTGACCTGACCCCAAAAAAAGTCTGTGACGCTCAGCCAACTTATACACAGGAAGATGCAGGGTCGCCAACACACACACACACACACACACACACACACAACTGCAGCAACACAACTTGATATGAATGATCTGGTTCGCTCTTCTTGGCAATCAGGGGAAGTTACTGCTGCTTCCCGCCGGGCAGAATCTCACTTTTATTCTCGGTTGAATCTTTAGCTTGCATTTTCGCTTTGACCTTTCCGACTGTGTGTGAATCACAGGAGGAGGGAGGAGGACCGCTGCAACCCGACACAATCGAGTCTCTCATGAAAGATTCTTGTTGCCTATTTGAGAAACCGAGAGGGGAGGCGGGGGGGGGAGATACCTGCTACTCAACACCAAAACTATTTAGGTTCACGGGTTCTTGCGCAGGTCCATTTTTGGGCAGTGAAACGTTTTTGACCCCAAACTTCATCGCTGAGCAAAACGCACCCCTCCCGTTCCCTCCATCCCCGTCCGCCTCCACCCATCTGTTTGCGCTTCATCCGCCGAGATCGGTCGGTGAAATAATCACAGCTGATGCTGGAAATAGGGGGAGGAAGCGGGAGGGAGGGCTTCCCGTCCGGCCCCGACCCTGCTGCTTGGCCCGTTGTGCCTCAGCTTTCACTCCTTTGTTTTCATCCGCCGCTCAAGGGCCCCCGGGTGCCAGAGAGCGCAGTCAGCATCCCTCCGTCTCTCCGACCCACGCCCACCACCTACAACGTACTGCGCCCGTGTCCCATCGCAACCAACACTTATTCTTAGTCGTCTCAGTTTCCCCGCTGCTAAAAGCGAACACGGGCGAGGAAAATCAATCCCGCTTGTCTTGTCACTCGCGACGTGAGACGGAAACCGATACTACTCATGTGAACTTTAAAAATAGTCTCAGATGGATGTCTCTCTCTCTCTCTCTCATCTGTGCGCCGGCAGTCATGTAAATATCTGGACACACGGTCTGAATTACAGGAATTCCAAGTTAAGGGACAGAGATGAGAGCAGAAAGAACGTCGTGATAACTGCAGCTGGAAACTCCTGGACACGAGTATCTACATCTCACTGGTCCTCTGGATCCTGGAGAGTTGTCACTTCCCCCAACTGCCACCGACGCGTCCGTCTTTACCAGTAAACAGATGTAGATACTTTAGGTTTAAAGCGAAACCACCGGGCTCTAATACACGGACAACACCACAGCTCTTGAGCGACAATGATCTTGCTGTCATATATTCAAATGACTCTTTTCCAGCCTAATAATTGTAATATATATATATACATATATATATATATATATTACAATTATTATATTATTTTATATATAAAATATAATTATATACCATTTGTTTGTAAGACAGAATTTCAAATGTATATGTAATGTACACATGATTAGAAATGCATGATCTGAAATACGAATTCATACAATATTATAACAAGGTGGAGAGGAAAAACATATATAAGAAATATATTCAGTATTAATTGAGAGTATTATACTAACCCCAAAGGGCCTGAATGAAATGAATCATGCTAAACTACTTAATTACATTACATTACATTACAGGTCATTTTAGCAGACGCTTTTATCCAAAGCGACTTACATTACACTTTAAACCCATGGCTTTTTCACATTTTTGCCCGGGGAGCAATTAGGGGTTAGGTGTCTTGCTCAGGGACACTTCGACATGGAACATGGGGCAGCCTGGAATCGAACCAACAACCTTGTGCTTCACAGCACACCTTCTCTAACCCCTGCGCCACGACGACCCACCGACATATTACACCTCTGTTACACTCTGGCTTACAAGTTGGACGAGCACTGCGTTTCACTTCATTTGCTTTTCTACTCACACATAGTGAGACACTGAACCTCTCGTCTCAGTCACAGAGGTTTGTAATTTCCTGAACTACATTCAACACACCTCCCGTTTCCCACCGCTCAGTCTTCTGCAAGGAGGCCTCACGTGTTATTAGTGAGGACATCATGTACCAGCATCTCTCTGTTGACACCACAAGGCCGCTTTTTAAACCAATGGCCATCGCTAAATAGACCGTATCTCGCAAGTGAGTCATACTGAGTCAGAAGTTCCTCCCCTCTTGTGCATTGCTGAGCAAAGCCACAAACCGGATGTTCATGACGAACGTTTCTTCTTGCTTTTGATCATCTCGCATCAAGAGATAGAAGCAGCGCGTGTGCCTCAGTCTTTCTTTTTTGCATGTAGGGTTTCGATTCCATCACCTGCACAAACGAGTACGTGGAGTATCAAAACAGCAGCAGTAACAACAACAACAACAACAACAACCCCTCATCACTGCCGAGATCCGAATGACGTGACATCTGTTGACACGGAGCAGCCTTACTGTAGTCACCGTGAAATCATTACTGGAGGAGCAAACACATTAGATCAGCGAAAAAAGCCCAACCTACGTGTGTCAATAAGTGACATAATCTGAGGGGTCTATTAAACTTGGGGATAAAAGCCTTTCAGTTACTCATCATTCAGACTAGCGGCCGTCCGCCTATTCTAAATGAGGTGGTTTATTAGAATCTCAGTAGAGGATTTTTTTTTTTTTTTTTGCATATTATTGTTGAAAAACCCTTCAAGCCATTGCACTCTGTGACCAATTATTCCAGTGTTACTGCCTTTTTAGGTAAGCTATTGTAGAAAGCAGTTTAAGACGGGAAGAGAACTCTCTCCTTACCAACACCTGTCATGGTTTTATTAAACACTACGATAGCCAGCTTTTTTAGGAAATGACTTATTTAACAATGAAATTAAGTATTTGTGAGAGCCACAGAGAGGGATTATAAAGTAACAACAGATGTATTAACTCAACGCTGGTTTGTAGACATTCCGAAAAGGATTAAAACCAGCTGCGAACCTTTTTTTAGTCGGTAAACCTACACAGTTATGGTGTGGTTAATATATTTAGCAGTCAAATACCACAAAGCATTATGGGAATATCAGCTGATGGCGTCATCCACAGTGATCTATGTTGGCGCACAGTCTCCCGCTGGTGACTAACGCCTGCGGGTTTCTGAGTGGACGAAACCCATTGACTAGTTGTTCAATCAAAACGTCTTCCACCTGTTGCAATGCAGGTTTTGTATGTTTATGGACGCCTCCGAACTGATCGTGACCACTGGACGGCCTCATGACACACCCGCTCTCACATAACCCTCATACGCAAGTACTCCTGTAGTGCAAACCTCAGTTACGCCAGATCCTGTGTGTTGGTAAATTCAACAAGGCCTTGACCCGAAGAAACAAGAGCAACAGTGATGACTTTGACCGCCGTCTCCAGTGTGCGATCCAGGGGCTGTGACCTTTTCACTTTTTCTCGCTTTGAAGTTGACATTTACAAATAGTTTATGGCCCGACCAACAGTCAAAACCCTCAGAGATGTTAGATTTACAGTTTAATTCAACTCCAAAAACCAGCAAAGCATCACATCTGAGAAAATGTTTGTAATTGTTGCTTTGAAGCAAAAGGAAAATTAACCTTTTCTGGATGCGGGCCAACAACTTTTACTCCTTAATTTTATACATTTACTTCAAATCAAAAGAGAATATGTGTCGGTGTGTCAGTACAATATCTATCTGTCGGCAGAGGATGACGTCCCATATTTTGATGGTGGAGGGGGGGGGGGGGGGGTGACTCTCTGGGCCTGACAGCCGGCAGTATCGACAGGCTGGTCAGGTGTTCAGGATGTGTATTACGTGTGTTGGGAGATAATAATCTGAATTCTTTTCCCATTTGTGTGTATTGGGATGACAGTTGAGTTTGATTGGCAAAGACTAACTTAGATGACGTCATGCATTAGGACGCGTCACGGATGGACGAGATAGTCTGCACATGCGCAAGCAGGACCCCTCACAAAAAACCCTATTATGAGCGCACCTGAACGTCACTCCACAACTTTAACCCCCTCCCCATGCAACAATGTAGCCTATTCATGACAAAGTTTAAACCCCCACTGCTACAACTCATCGACTATCGTGGGTGATGCTTTGCTAACCGTTAGATAACGTTACATCCATCCGCAGCTCGCGGACTGTAAAAAAAAAACTCGCGATCGTCCCTTCAAACCTCACGCAAAATGAACGGAAGCTGCGTACTCACCTCCTAACATCGAAAGGCATGATGATAACACGCTCAACAAGGGAATTAGCGGAAAAAGCGACACACTACGGGCTAACACACAGCTCTCGTCAGCGCTGCCGGTTATTCATCGGTAGCGGGCTGACGTCAGCTTAGTACGCTTTGCAGAAGCCGATTGGCTGAGAAGTACTTCCGGGTGACTCTGGCTCTACTTCCTGCTGCAAAGTTATGATCAAATTTTCATGATTTGCGTTAATAAACCTTTATTGAGAACGGGAGAATAAAAAAAACAAGGCAAACAACCGAATTTGTGTATAATTATTAACTTAACCCGTATATATGTTTTTGTTTTTTTTAAGAGTTGGTCATGAATAGCTTGTGACATTTCCTAGCGTTTTATTCAGTTTCGTTGTATTCCATCTTAGGATCCATGTACAAAAATATATATAATAAAGAGGAGAACAGATATTTTTCACTAAAATGTGCTTCAAAAAGATTTTTAAATATTTATCTATGATATTAAGTGAATTATAAGTGATTAAGTGTACTATAGCAGTACACTTAATCACTTATAATTCATTTAATCACTTAATCACTTATAATTAAAGGTAGCGTTATCAACCTGTAGTTTGAGTAACTGCAGAGCATTCTGGACCACTTTTGAGTTTGCAGACAAACAGCGGGCCATGAACCATGTGAGAAAATTGCCTTAAAGACGTTTTTTTAATCAAATTCTGGTGGTGAGTTCCAATTCCTCAATTTGCCCCAATCATGCTGGGATTACATACAAAACGTTTTGATAAATTGTCAGAACAGTTTGCAAATGATTAATGACTTTGTGTTACTTAGCGCAAAAGGTTAATCAGGACATAATCTGCAGTTGTTTATAAATTGTATACAAGAAATCGTCAAGTTCATTTAAGTTTGGTATTTCATTTTCAATACTAAATGTTCCCATTGCAGTTATTCATCGTCATCATTTATTTACACAAGTACCTTGACTAACGTTCTTATTATAAATTAGAAACGGAGAATCAGAATGTTGGTTCGATTGAAAAAAAAAATAATGGTTCAGGTTTTTCCTATATTTTTTTTTGCCCCACACTAATAGACTGGATGTAAAACGAAACATTTTTGTTTCAAAAACGCGCCTGTTGTCGAGACACCAGCCGACTGGATAGGCCCTGTGTTTTCCCACTGATGGCTCATCTGTTGCCCGTAGCGATAATGACAGTAAACAAGCAGGAACGACAGTGAGTGACAGCGAGGTCGGGTCACAGGAAATGCCTCTGTGTCGTCCTCGTTTTCACTTCTCTTTCTAGGTCAGGGAACTACGGTTGGTTACGGACCATAATTATGATTAATCCAGCAGAGTGGTAACTCGGGCTCTATTTCAATATCCCACCCGACACTTAGTCACGCCCGTACAGGTTTGTTTTCAGAGAGGACATTGCGTGCACCAATGTCCAATTAGAGAACACGTTTTTTGGAGATAATGAAATGATTGATTTGGTCTCAATCATACAAGGACTTTTATTTGCTGGTTATTATGGCCAAACAGAGAATGTATCATCCATCGGTTTACAGTTAAACCTTTTGTAATACTGTAAAAAAAAACAAAAAAAAACAAACAAACACTGATATCCAAGATAACAGTGGCAGTTGTTTGATTAGATAAATAAAGTGAACCACTTCTACTTTATATAAATACAGAATAGCTTCGCCAGGGTCCTTCTAGCTGTAATTGGCCACAAGGTGTTTGATCTCTTAAACCTCCAGTACTTAAGACTAAATGTCTTAAGAGGAAACGCATTTGGAGAGGAAACGCATTTGAGGACAAAATGTTTGGTACAGGGTGTTTTCAGATCCCTGTTTAACGCGCATGCACGGTAGTCTGTAACATTCCAGCGTGTTCCCCAGTTGACTCATCTCACAGGAGTGTGAGGTTAAACCGGCTGCCCAGTTTTTACACTTTGTAGTGATTGGTTAAGTTTCTGTCTTTAAATTCTTACCTCCCCTCCCCCTCTTCCTTTCTATCATCTTCTTTATCCCCCTATCTATCTACAGTATCGACCTATCCATCTATACTTATTTATATCTATATTTCACACAAATACATTGGGTGTCTTGGTCAGTTGGATAACAACATTTGAGGCAGTGATTAGTTGAAACATGAAAGGATGTTGAATGGAATATATTCCATCACCACTCATCTTCAAGTCTGCTTAGTAAACATTTATTTCACAACAAAACAATCCAGGCGTGACTGTTCTGTGAAGTTTCAAAACACCTTCTTGTCACCAGACGCCTGTGGATTGTCAATAAAGATCATCCTACTTCCATTTCATGAGATTGCAGCGCTGCCAATGAGTCTCTAAACTACAGCAACAAAAGAAAAGGTTTTATGTGATTGCGGCCGAATCCCGCTTGATTTCTTAAATATACTTTTTGGCAAAAACTCCCCTGTCTTCATTTAAGCCACAAATGGAACAGAGGGGACAGGACAGGGTATCTGCACCTGCTGTTGTCTTCCTTTTAGACCAGTGTTTTGTTTCTCAGCATGTGGAAATTTACCAGACTTCAGATTTCTATACAGTGATTAACTTTTATGGTTAGCCTTTGCTCTCGGGGCATCGAACACTATGTACCTCTGACTAATAAAAACAAAGAATAAACTTTTATGGCCTCCATGGCATATATTTACTTATTATCTTGTTATTTGTCAACGCTCAGCTGAAGGGGCAAAATATAAATCTAATTAAACACTAACATCATGGAAAATTTGTCAAATTCCGTATATGCCGACAAACAGACGTTTTATGCCAACTGTTGTAATTTGAAAAAGTGATTTTGTGTTGGAACAGACAGAAAGGTAAACAAAAAAAATTAGACTAAACTCTACAGAGCGTTCCCATGAACACATGAACACATACGCAACATGTAGCATCCAAGTGAGCGCAGTCCTGTTCCAATTCGTTCAGAGGGAGGTGCGCAAGAGCGTGGCGGGGGAATGAGGGCAATGACGTCTGCAATGCTGGCGTGAGGCCAAGGGGGGCGGGCCTGCTGACGTCACTGGCTCCTCATTCACAGGCCAGCGCGGTATATAAGCGCGTCTGGAAGCGCTCAGAGGCAGAAGCAACTCACGCTAAAGCGACTCGGCAAACTTTTAAAGAAGAACCACCGAAGCCACCGGATTCAATCAAAAAGGGCGAAACGAGTAACTTCGATCATTTAAAAACTTTTTTTATGTTCTAAGCCAACGAACCGGAACAGCGCTCTCGCCGCTTCACATTTTCCTGTTGGGGAAAAAAGCCTTTGTTTTGTTTTGTTTTGTTTTGTTTTCTTCTCTTCCTCCTCACAACCAACCCGAACTTCCGCCTTCCTCCCCGTACGCGCTTTATGTATTTGGATTTACCGCTTATATCCCGCCGCCCTACTATGGTCGTAATGGAGGTGCCCACTATCGACTGTGAGTCCCTCCGCTGCCTGCTGGAGGACGACGTCCCGGGCAGCCTGGTGCTGGACTGCCGCTCCTTCCTGTCCTTCAACTCGTCGCACATATCGGGCTCCACCAACGTGCGCTTCAGCACCATAGTGCGCAGGAGAGCCAGGGGGGGGCTGGGACTCGAGCACATCGTCCCCAACGAGGACACCCGCGGCCGGCTGCTGTCCGGGGAGTACCAGGCGGTCGTGCTGCTCGACGACCGCAGCTCGGACTTGAGTCAGGCGAAGAAGGACGGCACGCTGATGCTCGCCGTCGCGGCCCTGTGTCGCGACCGCTGCGGGGCCAGGGTGTTTATTCTGAAAGGTAAGAACAACAACAACAACAGAACAAGAAGGTGTCCCAGTACTGCCTCACACTGATTGTTTCGCCGTATCCTAACAACGGGGCTCACGGCTGTCTGCATGCCCAGCTGCTGGCGGAGTAAACAACGTTCCGAAATAGACCCTCCCCCCGGGGAGGGGGGCAGTTGTCCCCCTGTCGCAGACCCCGTAATTAAACGTGAGCTTGGACTCTGAGCTGTGATCTGATGTACCGTGTGTTGTTGTTTTTTTTTCTCAGGTGGCTTTGAGATGTTTTCCGCCGAGTACCCAGAGGCCTGCACCAAGCCCCCCCCCCCACAAGGGCTCAGTTTGCCCCTGAGCTCCAGCCGCCCCGAGAGCGCGGACCCCAACTGCAGCCCGTGCAACACTCCCCTATATGACCAGGTCGGTGTCTTCATTTGGATATATATTATATGCACACATACACACACAATATGGCATGCTCTTGTTTCTTACTTCCTGTTGTAGTGTTTTGTTTCGCTTTTGTTTATATGTAGTGTTTTTTTGTTGTTTTTCTGTGTAGGGGGGTCCTGTGGAGATCTTGCCTTTCCTCTACCTTGGCAGTGCTTACCATGCTTCAAGAAAAGACATGCTGGACATGCTGGGGATCACTGCCCTGATCAACGTCTCCGCCAACTGTCCCAACCACTTTGTGGACTCTTTCCTCTACAAGAGCATCCCCGTGGAGGACAACCACAAAGCCGACATCAGCTCCTGGTTCAGCGAGGCCATCGAGTTTATCGGTGAGCACCTCCACCATCCTGTAGCCCCCTTTAACGCTCCCTCAACTGCCAAATACGAGGGCCTATCACAGCTGTCGCCACCAGAGCCTGTTGATGCCCAGTGACAAAACAGACCCCCCCCCCCACATCCCCCTCCTTTACAACCCTCTCTGACTGCTAGATTTACTTTTTTTTTTTTTTTTCAAAGTTCCCTCCAAAACTCACCAGCTGGCTCGGCACAGGCTCCCCCGCTCCACCATAATGGTGGTTACATCATCGCCACCTCTCAAGGATGTCCCCCCTTTTTTAGCGGCGGCCCCCAGGCTAGTGCGTGAATGGCTCCCTCCACGCTGCTCTTTGTTCTAGCTGAACAAAAGGCAATTTCTCCCCTCTCACTGTCGGCCTTCCTCTCTGATCAATAACCCCCCCCAGCGGGGGTCTGTTCCCCTCTTTTGTCCATTCAGACGGCCTCCTTAGGGATAAGCCCCCCCCCCCCCCCTCCCGCGAGCTCACACCCTGCACCCCTGTTGACTGTTCCTGTGTCTTAATGTGGCCAGTTGAATTCAAATAGCCACTGAAAGTGTTGCAAGGGCTTTTGTGTTCACGCCTTCCTGTGGCAGGCAGACTTTAAACCTCCACTAATGTTGCTTTCTCTTCTCTCTCCCCCCTCCCTGCTCCCCCCCAGACTCGGTGAGAAATAAAGGAGGCCGCGTGTTCGTGCACTGTCAAGTCAGGCATCTCCCGCTCTGCCACCATATGCCTCGCCTACCTGATGCGGACCAACCGCGTCAAGCTGGACGAGGCCTTTGAGTTTGTCAAGCAGCGGCGCAGCATCATCTCGCCCAACTTCAGCTTCATGGGTCAGCTGCTGCAGTTCGAGTCCCAGGTCCTGGCCTCGTCCACGTGCTCCTCGGAGGCGGGCAGTCCGGCAATCGGCAACAACAGCACGGTCTTCAATTTCCCGGTTTCGATCCCTGTGCACACCTCCGCCGGTCAGCTCTCCTTCCTGCACAGTCCCATTACCACGTCTCCCAGCTGCTGAGGGAGCTGTGAGGAGCTCCGACCCGGTTCGGACTTGAACTGCATCGCACAAGTGCCCTCTGCCAAGAGCACTGCCCAAAAGGCACGAGGCTCGAGTGCAACCGTTTCCTTGTGACACGAGGATCACTGTGCCGAATGTGAACTGGTCTCTGGGCTCTGTTCGTTTGACTCTGCGATCTGCTGGGCAAATCTCCTGTAAAACAGCCTCATCATTTCAAAAGGGAGTTCCTCCTAAATGTGAATGTTATCCGCAGATTTAATCTGACTTGACTTTGGGGGGGGGAGTGGCTGAAAGAGTAGTTTAATTTATTCCTCTAGAGGAAGTTAGAAGTATCTGAATATTCTTTATTCAACTGATCTATTTTTTGTTTTTATCCTTTCATGAAGGAAAATGCTTCTGATAATCATAATCCTTTTTTAACAAAATGGAGAGGACAAACCGTTGTCTCAGGAACGTTGACTTATCCTCTCAAATGTCTCCTTGGCTTTCTGTGCTGGTTAAAGAAGGCCAAGGCATGGAAGTTGCTCCTTCATTCGACAAACAATGAATGTAGCCCCCCCCCCTCCTCCCGACACACACACCTTCTTTTCAGTGTAGATGTCGCAGGAATGTTCAGTTTGAGAGTTGAATTGGTGCAAATGCAAATACTTACCTTTCAAGACCTCATGGAACCGTGACGATCCTGACTCATTGGGGAGATGGACCATTTTATACCTCATGTATCTACTGTGTACTGCAGCGCTGAGACAGACAGAAAACTCAACTACTCAAATGAGGACATATACTCCTCGGTGCCTGCATCCTGACATATTTATTGAACTAAAGTAATATATTTCTCTATCATATCTATTTTTGCATACGTTTGAATGTTTAAATTCTTTTTTTCTTTTTTTTTAATACGTTTTAATAAAACTCCTGACTTTTGTATTCAGTTGAAGTTCACATCTTTTGTCTGACTGAAGATTTATTTGGGAGCTGATGCACCCAAAAATGATTTAGACACATTTGTAGTTTTGTAGGTGTCACAACTGGTTATGCACCCGTATATCAATAATACCAAGTACCTTGAGAAATTCTTTAAACAGCTACATAATTAAAATATGGCATCTTCAGATTATAAAAATATAAATTCCAAAATAATAAGCACATTCGTATAGTTGAGAGATTTCATCTAACTTTAAGAAATGATGCATGCGGCCAGTAGAGCAAATATTTAGGGCTGCAACTTACCAACCAAGGCCACCCCAAGTTAATTAAAGACAATGTTGTCGTTCAAATTGGCCGATAAAACCAGCAACTATTCACATTTTAATTGATGGTGTTTCTTATTAATACTGTCATGGATTAGCCATCATTATAATACGGGTAGATGGAATCCAGCATTCTGATTGGTTGAGAGTGAGTCACTGGGGTACATTATTGGGCGATAATGTACAGTTGCTGTTCACGTTGACCCGAGCGTTCCACATCACTGTGCACTCAAAGTATCAGGTTAGCTTTCGTGAGACCGTTAGTTGACATTTTAGCTTTTAGCTCAATGGCGATTGCCGTCATAAGACCCGGAAACACCGCAAATGATCGGTTTCGGGCAATGCGAGCTTTCGCAACCAGACAATTAAGGTGGACCTCATGAGCGATATAATGAATAAGATTGTGGGGGACCCGATCCTGTTTACGTGCACGTACGGGGACTATTTTTACTCTAGACTACTGAAATGAGACAAAACATTTGGTGGCTAATACTATTTTGTGCTGAAAGGCAGCAATTTACTTACTAATTATAATTTCGCTGGTAACCGTATTATAAAAGCAACAAGGTACTTGAGGCAGTACTTTATCTTCATGAATGGAACTGTTCCACGTGGGGCCTAACAAAGCCCCCGAAATGTTACATTATTGGACGATAAAGTACAGCGTCTCGTACCTTATTGCTTTAGTTTATTTTGCTATTTGTGTACGCATTTAGGGCTTAGTTTCTTAATTTGATGCTATGAATCAAACAACTTCAGTGTGACAAGCAAAGTAAAATTGACCTCTTGGCTGTGGGCACATCTTTGCTGTGTTTTGTTCCGTGTGGTGGAATCTTAACCTCTATCTGCATAAGGATTTTTTTCCCACATTGGAAACACGATGTCGTGGTGTCGGCCATTGTTCGGGCCACACTCCCCCTCCGCCCCCCCCCCCCCCCCCCTCTCTGGACCCAGCTATGACCAGGGCAGCGCCGGGAGGCCTAAAGAGTCAGCCAAAGGACATCTCCCTCTGCGGCCTCAATAGGAGCATCTGCAAGGCGTTTGGGAAATGTGTGACAACTAAAGAGCGTTCGGGGCTCATTCATCCACCGGCCTTGTGTCTCCTTCCTCCCGCACCAATGGGGTGGTGGAGACGGAGACATCCCCCAGGGGGAAGGAATATGTTTGGGTTGCAAATTAGCCAAAACATTGGCTTTGACCCTTGGTGGGGTGTAAGACAAAAGAAAGCGTGGTGGCGATGATATTCTCAGGGTTTACGTAACCGCACGGAGTCAACCCACGGTTTTGTGGGGGAAGTTAGTAACGCTCTAACTTTGAAAACAAGGATTCTGGTCGGATGACAAACTGACACCCACTTCTTATCTGACAGTCATAAAAATGGATTGTCTCTGAAATAAAACATCAGAAGTGATGAAGTCTCTTTGATGAAAGGCTTATTCATTGTCACGCCAGCTCCCTCAAACGAGCTGTGGTTTGGGTGACATATGTGCGACCCTCCCCCCCTCCCGACCCCCTTGCAGCTTACCCGTCTTTGTGTCTTCAGACTTCCTGTTGTACCGTTGGCAGGAGTGTCTGTGTGTGTGTGTGTGTGTGTGTGTGTGAAAGCTGTTAGGCATCTTTTAGGATCTGATGAGGAAACTTAAAAGAAAAAAAGCCCTCAGCCAGGTCAGGGACATTAAAGTCTTGTGATTTCAAGTGTGTGTGTGAGAGACCATGTCCAGCTGCTACCTTTGGAAAAAAAAACTTTGAAGCAAGCAAGCTTTTGGTGCGAGACGGGATGCTTTATTTCATTAAGTTGTAAAGTCTTAAGCTCCAGTCGAGTCAGACACCAGGCGAGCAATGTTACCACACTTTATGACCGGTTTATTTAAAAATCAAAGTCCGATGTGGCATTCATTTATTGCCGCTGTATTTAACTTCATGTTTCTTATTATATCTTCAAGTTGTTAGTTGATATCAGTAGATAGTAACAACAACATTTGCCAGTGTCACTAAGTTGTCAATCGCCTTTACCGTCTAGCAACTGAGCTTTGACTCAGCTTCAAAGTCATTTTGATTCACACAACCCAGAGACCAAAACCAAACCAAACAATTGATTTATAAAGTGTCAGACTTTGCTGTCATGACAGGAAGTAACACAACGCCATCCCTCCTCCCTCTTTACATAATCCACTTTTAGTTGCATGCCTTTTCTCACATGACATACGTGACACAATCCACTTTTAATTGAATCCTCTCATGTGTACATACAGTTTAAATGCCTTCAATATGTATCTAAATGACTCAATAAAAAGATTTGCTTAAAGCCGACTTTCCACGTTGCAACAAAAGAACATGAGATTACCGTCATCATTGTAAAACCATATGACATCTAGTCTCCAGTTCCATGAATCTTTAAATGTTTTCAGTTGTACTTCTTAGAAACATTATTACATACTGGAACCCTATAGTAGAAAATGACTTCTATTAGGATATAACGCTGTCATTGCATTGTCAAAACACCATATGAATGACTTCATATGCACACTATCCGTGAATGTTCAGATGTTATTTTTAAAGAAATAGTTTCTCATTGTCTTTTTGACAGAAAAGGGGGGTAATGACTGTGGCGAGAAGGTTTGCTGTGTAGGGGCAGATGATTATACTTAGACGTCCGGCACATACTGAAAAGGATCCCAGAAGCCCCTTTTCCCACCGCGCTCAAAGGTAGTTTAAATACAGCATCAAACAAAAACATCCAACATTAACAAAAGCCCATCTCCCCGTTCGTTCAACACACATGTCACATTAGCTTTCTTCAAAATATGTGGACCTGACATGCATTTGTCGTTTTTGAGAAGTTGATGTAATGGCGGGACAAGTCAACGTAGTAAATAACCCCCCAGCTCACAGCAGCACCTCGATGAAGAGCTCAACCACACAGTATTCCTTCATGGAGGGGGGGGGGGGTTCCCCTGTGGTTTTGTCAGTATTGATTGACGGGTCTCTTTAGGAGAGAGTTTCCTGAGCAGACAAGCCCATACAGTACATCAGGACTCGTTGCAGCTTTCTGGCCTTTGCAGAGCTTCTGCATCCAATGTGTCCGAGTAGAGAAAAAAATCCCTACCGAATAAGCCTTTTAAGCAAATACGAAAGTTGTGTAATAAATAACCCGTGAAAATCAAATAAAGCTTCATAAATAGTTCAGTGAGAATGTTCTTATGTTGTTTTTAGAATCGGTTCCGTAATCGGTTCTGTAATGCATCACAACATTACAAGCCATTTTCAGCTGCATTACCAAACAATGATAAATAACTTGATAATTGATCATTTGATTAGTCACACGAGACAATACACACAGCGCACAAGACCAAAGAACAAAGACCACAACCGTAGTCAGTAAATCAAGCCGACGTCCTGCGTCAGAAGGGCTTAGGCGTAAACTGGATTTGCCAGTCTGGTTGCTAAAGGATGCTGGGTAATCACAAGCCTGACACATCCGCATACCTTCAAACCGGATTACATTACCGGAATTCTCACAAACACACACCATGTCCTGAGTGAGACAATTTAGGCCCCACATTGATGTCATGTTAGAATACTCACCTGGAGTACATCTGTAAAAGGATTTAGCCTTCTGGGACAGGAAGCATTTCAACCGTCTCGTTCTGACCTTTACAGCAAGCCAGACGAGCCAGACGCCGGTCCTGTTTGGGTTTCGATGCAAACAGAGTCAGAGTGGATGTTGCCTGAAGGAGAAATCAACGCGTCATCTGCTTCAAAAGCATTTGGTGGATTAAATCAGTGTTTGCAGTTACCACATTTGAATTTGACATAAGAAAAAAGTGGGAAAGCAGCGGCGTATTTTCAAAGTATTTCCACAACTGGTGATAAAACACCCTCCCCCAAACCTCTCCCAAACCCCCGGCGCTCAGTCATGCAATTAAAACCAGACCCGCTGTTTTTTTTGCGTGACAGGAGCCCAGATACAGCAAGATCTCTGCCACGATAAGCAGGGACTTGAATAGCTCAAGGAATGTCAGGACATTATGCGGGACCTGCAGTGAAGTGGCTTTTCCTTGCCAGCAGGGCTCCACTTCCTTTAACGACCCTATCTGGAACATCTGACGACAGTGGAAGCAGAACTTTGTCGGCTGTAACGGTGCCTGGTGGTTTATCCATCAAGCATCTCGACAAGGGTTGTGTAACACTAAGCCCCCCATTGTGTTTGTGGCTGTTTCACATGGCCAGATGACAGAGCTCTGCGTGCCACGCTCCAAACTGGGCTCACTAATTCATTAACATTATGCTGTTGAATAAATGAGAAAAAACTTTGAATAACTTGTAATCGTTAAAGCTCAGCAGATATGTGAACGATAGGCAGAAGTAAGACTGCCATCAATCCCTCCAGAGCTTCATTCTCCAGCTCTGGTCTAAGCTGAGGTTGTATTTTTCCACTCCCTGGAGGTACAGGGTTGCGTTCACAAGCAGCGGGCGGGATCCCGTGTGGAGTATTTGAGGAATGTCTGGCATCCCGTCCTCTCCAGTGACTGCACTCGGGGCGCTTGATGTCAGAAACAAAGATCATACACATGAGCAGACATAAATCACATCAGGCCCGCTGTGATGTGCTCGGTAGCTCAAACAAACCACTTTTTTGTCATAATAGTTTGGCTGATAAAAGAGAAAAAGAATGGTTCAAATGGTGGAATG